ATATATATATAATTTATTTTCATCTTTTTACATGTCATTAATATAAAATGTAAGGAAGATATAGAATTTCTCAAAAATTAATATTTATCTACTCCAATTAAATATTACTTCTTGAATGTTTAATTAAAATATGAAGGATATAATCAATCACCAAACTGAATTTTGGTGTTGCAATCTGTAGTAATACTACTTAACTCATAATTATAAGAGATTATGAGCTACATAGCGTTCTAAATTGTTTGGAGATACGTATAGTTTTCTAAATATTAAAACCCACGTGGAAACTTAAGTAACTACAGTATTAATATTTACGTTCTATTTATTAGTATTTAACATTTATTTTCGTCTTTTTACATGTCATTAATGAATAGAAAATATAGAATTTCTCAAAAATTAATATAGTAACAAAAGGAACACGGTCAATAAATTGAGAAGTTGAAAAAAAGATTCTAATCAGAACTTTTCAATTGGCTTAAGAATCAGAACATATATATCACAAGGTGTTAAATTACTTTTGGGACGGTCTAGCTGACATGCCATATATGAATAATTCCTTTAACCCTAATGTTAATAACGCCTTAATACTCATTAAAAACTAGAAAAGTATTTTATTAAGCTTTCAGTGTTTTGAGTGGTTTACTAAATCCTTAAATCTCAATATCAGAATTATTATAATCCCTAAGCATTTATATAGTTCGTGTGAGAAAAAAATGATACAAAGTTTATAAGATATTGAAAGTTTTTAAAGCATAAAAGTGATAATCTATTTTTTTTTTTTAAGTAAATAAATAAATAAAAGAGCAGAATATGTAGTGCTGCCATCTCTCGAGCTACCATATCTATATCATTTGAAAATAGTGTTAGTAGAGTGAATAGTTTTCAGGTATTGACAGGCATTCAGCCTTTTGAGTGCATTACTTAATTCTCTGGTCTCAATATTATTATAATTGTTTTCCCTAAGAATTTGCACAGGTTGTGTTAAACAAAATTGGAGATGTAAAATAATAAATACGAATAAAACAGAGTATGTGGTGCTGCCATCTCTTGAGAATTCGATCGTTTGCAGATAAAATTATTAGAGTAAATTGCAATATTTTAATTCCTAACACATACATCAAGAAAATATTAAATAATTAAATCAAATGTGAAATAAATCAAAAATTTACCAAATTAATTTTAATAAAATTGAATTCTAACACTATTAATTATATTTTTATCTGAAAAAAATTTTAAATTTTCTACATTAAATTTAGAAATTTAATATGTGGAGAATACATAGTCCAAATAAGAGATTTAATATGGCTTCTTTTTTTTCTTTCTTTCTTTTTTTTTTAGGTTTATTATGATTTTCAGCCAATTTTTTAACTGAAAGGCTTCCCCAAACATAAATATCGCAGAAGATATGGTGCTGCCATCTCTTGAGAATTCAATCATTTGTAAATAATGTTATTAGAGTAAACAGCTGTATTTTAATAAATTCCTAAATTCCAAATACGGCTAAAACATATTTAATAATTAAGTCAAATTTAAGAAAATTAAAAGCTTTACAGAATTAATAGAACGAAAATTGAATTGTAACACTATTACTTAAACTTTAAACCAAAAAAAGAAAAGGAATTTTCTACATCAAATTTAGAAATTTAATATGAGGCATAGTACGAATGAGAGGTTAAATTTAGAATTTTTTTTAATTTCACTTTTATTTCAGATTTTTAATTATCTCTTTGAATACTTATTCCATCATATAAAAAGGGAAAAAGCATTAAAGATAACTTACTTTATTATATCAATGTGTTTGTTGATAATTATTATTCTGAATGTAAATATTTTATTTTCTTTTGATTACAATTTTCAACTTTATTAAGAATATCAAAAATAGAATTAAATTTTTTGTTGAACGGCAATGAAGTTTTGATTTGTTGATATTAACAGGGAATGCATGAATGTGATGCATCAATGCACAAATGACAGCATTTTACTTTATGATTACAAGCATATTGAATCGACTCATAAATAAACGAATAATACCTTCCATAACGACAATTTGCGTTTTTTCTATCTTAAAAATAAACAACTAAATTAAAGTGAAACTCGTTTTTTAATCGCTGGTGTCATAACTTCAATTACCATTTACAAATCTTAAATTCGTTTTTTGAAATTATTGTTTTTTTTTTTAATATGTGATAAAATTTGGTAAATGTGGTAAAATTTGGTAATTATAACATGATACCTTTGAACATGGCATAAAAACCATTTATTTTGCAATTTGCTTTTCAGTTTTGTATTTTTTACTAAATGTTATTGTGTAGTAATAAGAACAATAATTTTAAAAATCAAAAATTCGGGTAAACCATATGAGCAAAGAAAAAAATTATCAAATGAATGGTTCAAATGCCGTATATTTTGGTTTTATTAACCAAAATTATGTTTGCTTGTTTGTTTTTTTTAAAAAAAAAAGCGCAGATGTTATAACCAATTAGTACGGTAATTTTGTGAGAATATTTTTCTTCGTGCTCGTAGGTTTCTAAAGTAGTTCACATGGCCTCTAAATTGAGCTTATAATTTTTGAATAACTAAATAATAAACTTAGTAACTGTTAAGACATTCATTTAAATCGACATTATTTTCTTAAAAGTACTTTAAAAATCCTCGTTTCATATTTTCGAAAATAATAATTTTTTCATTTGTTTAATTTGTAATTTTTTATACCACAGGATCAGTAAATGCTGATGAAAAGTTTTCAAGACTTCGACCATCCAACCTCATTCGAAATATCCTAAAACCAAAAAAAGTGAATTTATTTTCTGGATGTCCTCCAAATACTCAATGCTCTTTCATCCTCTCTTGTTGGTGGACTGGGGACTCTGTGGGCACTTCTTGTGGGCCTTTTTTCTTCTGTTGCGGCAGCCAAGATAGCAGAGATGACCAACACATCAGTCAACTCTATTACGGACCTGTTCGCAACGATCCTCGTAAATTTTTTATAACAATTTTAAATTCTATATCAGTATTTTATTTTCAGTATCTAAATATTATACTGTGTTTAAATATTGATTATCACTAAGTAAAACTACTTTTTGATCTAAATTACATTTCAGAATTATGATATTTAACTGTTAATTTTTTCAATTATTTCTTTTTCTTTTGAACTGAAATGTATGTTTCAAATTGAAGGATATCTAATGATTTATAGTAATTATTTATTGTTAATAATATTTTTCATGGAGATCTTTGATTATTTCACATTTTTTTATGCTAAGTACGACCTGCTGCTACAGTATCTTTAAATACATACATTTTCCTGAAATTCGTTAACGAATAACAACCTTTATCGAGAAAAAAATTCAGTTAAGGCATAAATTGAGCTGGTATTAAGGTTAAAAAAAGTAATTTAATTTTTTGTTTTTTTCGTAATAACATAATAATGTTTATGCGAAGTGCTGCATCCTCCCACAGCGAATTGTGTTCATACTAAATTTATACTTAGATTTCATGCTGAAGTTTAAGCAGCACAATTTTGTTCAAACAATAATATTGTCTAATAATATTATTCCCTCTCTCTAAACTTCCCCATGACCAAGGAGAAAAATCTGAATCACGCCAAATTTTTCATGCAGGTTGCTGCGTATATACGCCAGTGGTTTTCTCTGTTGGCAGGATCGAATTCATGATCTCTAGCTCTTCACTAGTAGTGTAAGCAGCTCCTTAACTAACTACGCCACCGAAGCACTCTTCTTATGAGTCATTCACGCTGCATCCGATTTTCTTAGACGCGCGTGAGAGTGTTTAGAAACTACATGCAAAACGAACTATTTGCCACGGGCGAATAGCATCGAATGAGAATACTCCCTCATTCGAAATCCACTTTTGAATGGAATCGGAGAAAGTGATGTCTCCGGGGGTTTTGGGACCGGAAAAACATGCGCAGTTGTGGAACGTGTTGCAAAAACCGGGTGATTACTACCACATCTAGAAGTAATCCAAATTTTTCTATCATAATGCGCCTTTGCATGAGTATATTGCCTTTGTATCATCCTAAAGGAATGAATTCCAGACCATTGTTAATAGCCCTTTAGGGAAACTCTAGTCCAATTTTAACGAGCTAAGACCAGTGACAGTTGACGTTAAAGTGTAAAGTTAATTCTGTAATTTTTATGACTCATTTCATCCATTCCTGTGTATCTATACGATTTGTCAAGTGTCGAAATGAAAAGTGAAAACTAGTGATTAGAGAAACAAAAAAAGTTTTTGTTACGAAGTTTTTTTCTTTTCTCATAGTCTAAATTTTAATGTCAACACGACAAAATATAACTCCCTAGAGTTTAGTGAATAAGGTGTAACTATGACACGAGACATTATATCACAACATTGATCTTACAAATCTCAAATTTATTATTACTTTACTTATCAAAATATTTTTACTTTATTTACTAAGCTATTTTTACCTTGAGTAATTTGCCTTTTTTATGCTCAGTTTTCAAGAGAAATTAAACAGTTTATTAAAATATCGAATGCTCCAAAAAATCCCCAATGATTTGAAACACCAATGGTGCAAAAACGTGAAGATATTAAGATATTCGCTGCGTTCGAAGATATTCGCTGCGTTCTGCTTAAGAAACTAAAAAATCTGTTATCTGCTTTACTGCGCTGTAAACCCACGTATAATATAATATAAAACATTAAAAGACAAGATATTGTTGATCTGTAGGTTCTATATCTTTGATACAGGTCACCTGCAGATTACGCAATTTTCTACATATCTGGTATGAAAATTACACACCTTTAGAGACTGTAATGTGATAACTTTCTCATTAACTAGGTTATGCTCCCATCTTTTGAGAACTGCTCATAAACATTTCAGTTGCATTGGTTTCACTTCCATCATAAAACAGTCCAAAAGTATTTCAGTTGCAATGGTCTCTCCTCAATCATAAAACATTATTTTAAGCTTTTTACAGGCTATTTATGAACTTCGCAACAAATGTTGCAATTTGCTGGAAAAAAATTTTATTAATTGACATTTTAAATCATCGCACATTTCTGTGACATTCGATATAAATGTTACAAATTAGGTAGTTTCTAGTTTTATAATTTTATAAATGCACAGTTTTTTGTGTGGTTTTTATTTAAATAAGCCGAAATGTATAGCAATTTGTGTAAAATTCTATAACTTATGCTTATTAATTATGCTATTATATAGTTTGTGGAAGAAGTTCAATGTCTACTAGTCGAATTGTAGGCGGTGAAGATGCAGCTTTTGGACAATTCCCATGGCTGGTAAGTGCACTAAGAAAAAAATGATGGTCGATACTACCAGAATATGGTAACATTTACAGTGTTTCTGGCTTTATGGGAGTACCAAAAAGCTTGGTAATTCTTACCGAAATGTTTTGTTAATGATTTTGGTAAAATTAACATTAAAATCTGGTTTTATAACGCTTGATACAATTTGAGAAATGTAATAGATTTGGTAATTTTATCATGATATCTTACAATATGGCATAAAAACCCCATTAATTTAGTTCAGTTTACATTTCAGTTTTGTATTTAGATAAAGGATTGAATGCCATGTATTTTGGTTTCATTTACTTAAATAATTTTTTTTTAAACCTGAAATTTCATTAGCATACATTACGGTAATTTTACCAGAATTTTTAGTCCGTGTGAGATTAAAATGTAAAAGGAATTTAATTGTAAAATATATACATTTACTATACAAAACAGTATTTAAAATAACTAGCATATATAAATGCTTTATTAAGATTCATGTAAAAGCATATATCGTTAAATAATAATAATGATTTGTTTTCATTGTTATCATTGTTTGTTCCTTCCAATATCGATCAAATTTGCTTTGATGGTTGTTAAGTACTCAAAAAATTTATAAATAAACAAAATAAAATGAAATAAACAGCAAATCGAGGTCACTTAAGAGCCTTTTCAAAAAATTTGGAAAGTTTTTCGTTTGCACCCCAAATGTTGGCCTTTCCGTAAGTACTAAATTTAATATCTAGTTTTAGAAACTTTATCAAAAGGAAGATAAAAAAAGGATATACTTATGTGGGTCTGAAATTACTATTTAAGCAGTGTGAAAAGGAAAACACAGCCAAAATCTGACAAATCACTATTAAGAAGTAAAGGGAACTTCAAAGACAGTTTGATTCCGGGTTTAAAGTTGAAGGTGTTTAAAGTTGAAGGTGTTCAAGTCCTCTCTCTCTTTCCTCATGCAATCAAACACGTTTTGGTGTTTTGTACTCTCTCCTTCCTCAACAGTAATTGGTCAGATTTCGGTAATTTTTTAGTTAATTCTTCGATTAAATATTATTTCGCATCTTCAATATGTATATTTTTTGCTCTTTCTTTTTAATGACGATTCTAAGAATGTAGGGTTAATGCGCTTTATACAGAACACCCTGTTTATGCTTTATTTAACCTTAAAATAATTTTAACTGTTTTTGAAATTTTGATATTATCAAAATTTGATCAATTCATTAAAAAATATTATTGTAATTGTATTTAAAGTAATTAATTAATGGCTTACGCGCGATTTATTTACTATTTTGCCTATCTCCATTTCTTTTATTTACAGTGTCTAAGCATGTTTTTCAAAAGTTTGTTTGTAATTATTCTGCTTACAAAAGCAATTAAAGTACCGTTTTTAGTAATTTAATGAATACTGTTGTTTAATTTAGGCTTTTATACAAGTTGGTGGAAGTAGATGTGGGGGTGCTCTGGTCGCTTGGAGACATGTCGTTACAGCAGGACATTGTGTTGCAAAGTAAGTTAAAAACATATACTTAAAAGACGAGCTCTCCCAGTGTAATATAGTTTTGTTGTATAAAATTTTTAGCTCTAAATGCAAAACTGAGTGATGTAAAACAAAATACAATAATTTATTGCTCAATAACTTATTCAAACAATGAATCATTTATAATTTTTAAAACTTTTTCATAATGATTACAAAAATAGCTTATTTTTAAGCTATGAGATTGTAGCATTAACGAAAAATGTCTTACGAAAGTGAATGTAATATTTCACTGTTACACTCGCACATTTATTTCATAAGAAACACTCACTACCACAAGTTTATTTTCTTTTTACCACATATTTATCTTCAAATCAGCGAAAATTGCTATAGATCAGTCAGAGCCGCGATGGCTCAGGGGACAGAGCGTTCGCCTTCCAATGAGGTGAACCGGGCTTCGATCCCGGCGATGGCTGATCGTTACGAATTCCGCATCCGGCTTGCACCGACTACAGCGTTGACGTGAAATATCCTCAGTGGTAAACGGATCATGAGTAAGAGTTCCTTTGCCATCAGGCTAACCGTGGGAGGTTCTCGTGGTCTTCCTCTCTATGAGCGCTTCTTAGAACAAACATATTTTGCTGAGGACATGGGAACTTTTTAAACTTCTATGTTCTTAGTATTTCTATCCAGTAAAATATTATTTGGTTTATTTTACCTAATGCAGACTACTTGAAAACTTCATTAGGTATCATTTTTGTTACATAAATATCCAACTTCAATCCACTGTCTTGTCTAGAAGATAAGAACTCAGAATGAGTGTTATCCATGATTATTCAATGGTTCAAGGTACAACATATGGTGGTCAAAGGTACAACACCTTATTTTATCTTGGACCAAATTTCCTCACTTTACAGTATTTTTTCACAAATAATAATTTCACTAATAATTTCTCACAAAATTTTTAAGTTAATTAAATTATTAGATTCTACATAAAATGCAAAAAAAAAAAAAAAAAAAATTCAATTAATCCAAGATACAATATTCTCCCTTGCACTTCATGGGAAGCAAAATAAGTTTTTCTATCGAAGAGAAAAATAATTCAATCAGTAATAATTCATTAGAGATCGATCGATCTCTAATGAATTATAACTGAAGAAAGGGGACTCGAAACATCAAGACACATTTGATTGAAACAGATTAATTTCGATAGCAGATTTTGTTCTTCCTCGCTTAAATAACAATATGCGAGTCCTAGTGTCTTTAGTTCTAACTTAGAGACTTTATTTTTGGAAGCTTAGTATATAAACTTTACATAAAATGTTTTAAAATATTTGCACTGAAAGAACCTAAGTTATCCTGCTAACTTTCATGTTCATTTGTTTATTAATGCAATGTAACCATTACTTTTAGAACACAACATAATCCTGGTAACATCAAAGTGACATTAGGAGATTACATTCTAAATTCTGATTTAGAAGGTTTACCAAGTGAAACATATGGTGTTGATGAAGTAAAAGTGCATCCAAAATTTAGATTTACACCGCAAGCCGATAGGTTTGATGTTGCAGTTCTTTTATTGGATAAAGCCGTTGGATACCGCTTCAACATGAAACCTATTTGTTTACCTGAAAAAGGAACAGATTTTTTGGGTGTTATGGGATTTGCAGCTGGTTGGGGTGCTTTAGAGCCAGGTAATTTATTTATATTTCCTTTGAAGTTTATTGTTCTTATTACATTTTTATATGGAATGTTTTCAAAAACAGTTCGGTATATTTCAATAAATCTTACGTGTGAGAATATAAAAGGAAAAAAAAAATTCGTTTTCAAACATTTTTAATGAAGGTTTCATGTTTTTAAAACAACGAAAACAACAATTATGCCATTGCTTTTATTTATAGTTTTCATACTAAAAATAATTTAACAAAAATAAATGGCTACTTTGAATTGAATTACTAAAATTTATTTATTTTTTATTTATTTTTTATTTATTTTTTGAAAAAAACAATAGTAGTACCTACCGCAATTTGTTCAGTCACATATTTTTAAGAAAATAATAAATAATTGAGAACATAAGTTAGTTTTAGTTATGCGAAACAAAAATTGAATAATTCCTTATGATAATTTTGTAATTTAAATAGTATAAAATTATGATTTTCATTAGAAAAAAGTGGTAAAATTTATAAAAAGTTAAATTTCTAAGAAGTAATGTTAGATATAGCTAATGCAGATTCTGGAAGCAAAAATTTTACGTAATTGACTTATATTATGCAAATACCACATAAAAACACCACGTGTGCAAATTAAAATAGTTAAACAACAAACTATTGAAACAGTTCTTTGCTTGTAATATTGTAATATACCCTTTTTTCCTTTATCAATGTTTATTTCTTTTCTTTCATTCCGAAAATTTACAGTGATATCAGCAATTTCAGTTTATGGCTTACAAAAGGCATAAAACACAAGATTGAATCTCACGACAAATAATTACAAATGTTTGTGACTTATCTTATAGACGATATTATACATTATCTTCTTTTTAGATGTCATCTACTTTTAAAATAAGAGGGTAAGTGAGTTGTTTTTGAGAAAATTCAGGATAAATAATAATTGTAATTAAAACTTTTCAAGCGAATTTGTAAATTACGCGCAATTATAATGAGTTACGATTATAACAATATTTTTTTTATTTACACTATAAATTTTCCCACAAATTTTTTTTATTTTTTACGTTGACAGTCCTCAGAAACTCAATATCAAGGTAAGTGCATGGTTTGTAGCTTTTTTGTTTGAATAAAAAATCTGAGTAAACAATATGTGACGTCAACACCCTCATAATTCAAGGTAAAGTATCCAGCCTTGTTTACCTAAATGACTTCAAGAAACATTTTGGAACTCGTCTTTGTAATTTTGGTCTAATAATGCAACGCACAACTACTCCATTTGTTTAAATTAATGCTAATCAAATTTCCAAATTTTTAGCTATGAAAAGGTAAGTGGTATAAATAAATGTTGCTAAATATGATGCGCATATTTTCACGCTTTCGTACTCCCTTTTGCATTGAATTGTAGGCTAATTCCTCTGAGCAAGAACTGATTATTTAACTTTTTTCATTAGATGACATTAAAGATCAGGTACTTTATTTTTAAAAACTAGTTACGGCTGCATACTATTTTGTTATACAAATCATAAAAAAAATTATGTTATTTAAAACAACCGATTCCTCGAATTTGGAGCATCTATTTGTTGAAAGAGGAATTCTGTATTTATTTTGAGAGAGCTTTGGAATTTTTTTTCTTAATGAACTATGAGAACACTCTGATCTCTTAGTATTTTAATAATTTACAAACATGTCCAGTGAAGAAAAACTGATTTTTTTTTAAATAAAAGATTATAAAAAATAATATCACCGGTGATGCAAAAATATATAATAAAAAATTCATAATTATGAAATTATCTTTCTTTTATTTGTTTTCAGTTTCACGCAATTATATTGGTCAAAGTAAAATAGTTCTTTTTCGTTCTGAATAATGGACAAAAAAGATAACTAAGTTCTCTATGCTTGCTTTTTTGTTTTGAATAATGGACTAAAAAGATAACTTTAAGTTCTCTATGCTTGTTTTGTTTTTTACAACTAATTCTTTTAGGTTCTAAACTGAGACCGAAGATTTTGCAGTATGTACCAGTACCTATAATAAATAACAAAATGTGTGAAGGTTGGCACAGAAGGCGTGGAATCAACATAGTAATTCATGACGAAATGGTGTGTGCTGGTTATGAATTTGGCGGGAGAGATTCCTGTCAAGTAAGTTATCTTTTTCTATTACTAAGACTCAGCTTAAAGCTGCTGTTTAATTTAATTAAAACGATTATATTATTACAATGCATTTATTTTCAATATAAAAATTATGTTAAAATTGGCATTCAAAATTTTTCGTAACTTATATTATAAATATTTTCGTACAACTATTATCGTGATAAAATTAAATTAATTTGTCTTAACTTTGACAAAACTGACTACTTTAAAAGAAAAATAGCTAGCGATTATATTATCATTATTTTAAGGAAACAATTCTAAATAACGTCTCATTTTTCTATTTTTTAAACATTTATTGTTGAATACGACCAAACGTATCAACTTAACGAACAAGGTAAACGTAACGAGAAAGAGAAAAAAAACTTATCAATCAATGCAGTTTTTGAATTAGGCATTATTCTACAACAAGAATTTGTAAATTATACTGTGCTTATAAAAATATATATCCATCCATCTCTTTCCTGTAATAAGATAATTACCACAGAAGAGTTTCTTAAAAAATTAAATTTTTTGATTGATCATTTGATATTTTCGGTAATTTGTTCAAAATAAATTTCTCTTTTATTAGTTTATGTCATGTTATATATTCTACATACTTATATATGTACATACTTATGCATATATATATACACCGAAGAGCCATTACATTATGACCACTCTGCTAATAACATGTAGGACCACCTTTAGCCCTCAGAACTACTATCACCCGCCGTGGCATTGATTCCACAAGGTGCTGATAGGTAGTCTGAGGTATCTGGTACCAAGCGCTCACCAACTGGTCCTGCAATTCCCTCACATTGCGAGGGGGTAGCGTGGCAGCACGAATTTGGTTTTCAGGGTAGGACTACAAATGCTATATTGGATTAAGGTCAGGTGAATTTGGGGGCTAAGACATGACTTGAAAGTCACTGAAATGTTCCTCGACGATTCGACCCTTAAGACATGGTGCATTATCCTGTTAGTAAACACCATCCCCCGCAGGAAAAACTGTTGCCATGAATGTGTGAACCTGGTCTGCAACTATGTTCAAGTAGCTTACATGAAACCATGAAAACCTGGGCGAGCCCATTGTTACAGATGGAGGGTGGTTATAATGTAATGGCTCTTCAGTGTATATATATATATATATATATATATAGTGAAATGAAAATTTTCTAATATAATTTCGAAACACATTTTTCTCACCAATAATTTATTGAAATTTCAGGGAGATTCTGGTGGCCCACTCATGATAAATCAGTTTGGTATTTGGTATTTGGTTGGCATTGTATCAGCTGGTTATTCCTGTGCCAAGCAGTTTCAACCTGGTATTTATCATAGGGTTAGCAGCACATCTGACTGGATCTCTACAAATTTATATTGAGCAACTCAACTCATGATCTCATTTTTCATTAATTATTCGAACAAAGAACTGAAATAACTCATATAACTGGTTTTATTGCGGGCAATAAATTCAGTTAATGTTGTAACATATCAAAACATGTTCAAATGTGATTGATTCTGTGTTTATAATGATAATTTAAGTTATAAAAGTCCCGTGACCTCTGAATGTGTTAAATGTTTACTACAAACGTAAAAGATCAAAATATGTGATTTGATAAGCATAGCACTCAGTCAACATGTAATTGTCATGATTGTTGAACAACGTATATTGTTGCCTTGCCATTAAACATATATATTTTAAAAAAATTTCGCTCATTTACTTCTTGCATTTTAGAACAACTCACACAAAAAGAATTTTAAGTAAATATATATAAACAATAATTTCTTAAGTATTCTTTTCCTTAGGATCTAAAACAGAAACCTCGTAATAAGCTGGCTTAAATCTGAAAATACAATAAAAATAATTTTTGATATCTGAAAATACAATAAAAATAATTTTTGATATATTTTAGTTGCTCTTATTCTGCATCTTTAATTGTGATTTCAAATAACAAATTTATAATCCCATGTTTTCATTCCCTCTGTAATTTCCAGTTTTTCTTTTAAATATTAAACGTATTCATATCTGTGGCTAAAAATTTAATAACTATTCAATTAGATAATTAATATTATTCAATAAATATTAATAATATATATAAAAATCATGGAATTAAAATGTTGTGTTTAAAATTTGACCTTCTATTAAATATAAACTTTGAATTCCAATCTAATATACTATTACCTTGTACGAATCTAGTTTTCGCTACAATACAAGATAGCAAACAAATCATATGTGGTCCTTCACTTCAGTATAAACGTGCCTTAAAAACGTATCCAGCGCCCTAAAAACGTATCTCCATTTATACTTTGATTTTATATTCTGTAATCTAGCAACTTAGTTACGAAAATAATTTTTATACAAATCCTGTTTTTAAATCATGTTTCCAAGTCGTTCAAAAGTACATGACATCTGATCTCCCTTCTTCCATCTCTTTTTGCCGTAAAAAACGTTATTTTTAAAAAGTTAAGAAACCTCAAAATTTTAGAACGGAAGGCAAAATGTCAAAAACGCAATAATAAAAATTAAACTATGTCAGATTCTTACTTTTGAGAGAATATGAATAGACAGGAAGTATTCTTAATGAAGATACGACAAGTATTCTTACTTCTGAAAGTTAAAGGGCGCCAATAAAAACGGACCACCGTGAATAACGTTTGATCAGGTTCTAGAACTCAATCTTAATGTCTTAAGTAAGTGACCTCAAATATGCTAACTAATATGTGCGGATGATATTTTAAACTACGAAATCAGACACAAAAGCATACTTTCTCTGAAAAAACATACTTTTTTTTCGACAGATTCGGATTTCTGACCTCCAAAATATAGAGGTAGCCGCAATCTGCGAAATGTCGTCTCAATAGTTTGATCATGAAAGCGTTCTAAAGTTTGGATCCCCTAATGTTAATTTTACTTTTTGCGTATTTCGCTATATCTCGAAAACTTTCAATACGAATTGAAAAATGTTTGCACTTAACTATAAATTTCGCTTATACAAAGATAAGTCCATGGAAAAATTACAAATCAAGTTTTTTTCAATCATTATTAAATAAAATAATAAAAAATAATACATTTTCACTAAAAATTATTTTTTGCCTGGAATTATCTTTGGATAAACGAATTTTATAATTGAGTGCAAGAAATTTTCAGTTCACTTTGGAAGTTTTCGAGATATAGTGAAGTACACAAAATGCAAAATTAACATTAAAGGGTCCAAGCTTGAGGGAGCTTTCCTAAGCAAACTAACGGGACTATATTTCCCCATTAGCTACCCCCTATAGTTTAGGGATCAGAAATCCGAATCTTTCAACAACAAAAAAGGTATGTTTATCCAGAGAGGTACGTTTTTGTGTCTTATTTCGTAACTTAAAATATCGTCTGTATTCATTAATTATTATAATTGAGGTCGCCCCTTCAAGCCATTAAGATCGAGACCCAGAAAGTGAAGATCTGATCATTAGATCAAAAGTTATTTGGGGTGATCTATTTTGTTTTTTGGCACACTGTACATGAATATAAGGAAGGTGTTCTTCCTTTTAAGAAACATGTGAAGATGCGAGAAGCATTCATACTTTTGGAAGATGTACGAAAATACGAGAAGTATTCTTAATTTTCTACTCGCTAAAAATATACTGAATATAAATGAATAATTATTTGCAAAAACATGAACAGATATTTTCTTCATGTTTCGAAAAGTTACTTTCAAGTATAATTTAAAACAAATAAATAAAAAGTACATCATGAGCCAAACGCTTGATATATGCTGACATTGATAAAATCTAAAATAGAATATTAAAAAACAATTTATGTTAAACGTATTAAACTTAAGCATTAAAACTTTAACTCATTTACCTTCAATGCATCGTAGTAAAACTTAAAGACATTATTTTGTATTAGCCTGCATCTGGTTGCTGAACGGCAAAGAAATTGAAAAAAAGCAGTGAAAGTTCCAGCGAAAAAAAAATTTATACATATCGTTTTTAAATTTTTCTGCAATATCTGGAATTGTTGTAGAAGTAATAAATATTGCAGCGAAAATAATTGTAATAATCTGTTATGTGGAAAATTTCTAGTTATTTGGTAATAAATTCTGGTTATTTGGTAATAAATTCTGGTAATTTGGTAATAAATTCTGGTAATTTGGTTTCTGATAATAAAAGAGTCAAGTGTACGGCTACAGATATGAACAAGTAGAAATATTCCTTTTAAGATGTCGATTTAAAAAAAAAGAGTGTAAAAAACAAAATGATTTTTTTAAAGAATGAAAACTCGCTTGATCACTTGAGCATACTAATAAAATTCGTGTTTTCAGCTAGTGTCAATTTGGATTCCATTACTATATGATTGGGCAAGTTATTTTTATTCACTATTAGCTTTAAAAAAATTTTTTGAAATCCGAAAAGAAGGGAGCATCCTTAAAAATTTAGGTATAAGATATTTTGAAAAGTATTTGAGAAGGTATATTAAAAAAAAAGAAAAATTGTTGAAGTAAAAGCTTTGCGTTAAACAAATTATAAGCGTAATAAAATGGAAAAAAAAGCTAAGGCTTACATTTTGTATGAGATTAAATTTTTAAAATCACAGAGCCTTTATTTATTAGAAATTTGTAAAAATTAAAATTTAATTCGAGTCTGTTCATGGGTATGGGTTTAAATAAGTAACACCAAATATTCATAAGAATTGTTTGATGCATTATTATTTTATTGATCAACAATTTCAAATTGAACATAAGTTTTTCTTAAATAAGTACCAATATTTTATATTTCAAGGAATGGCGGGTGTTTATAGTATATTTATTTAACATCAGACAATATTGAACATTAGACAATATTGAACATTACACATAAAAAATACTTCATGAAGTATATTTTACAACAATATAAAAAAGGAAAGTAATCAACATGGTTTATAAATAGTCAACTTAGGAAAATAAATAATCACACTAATCAGATCTCGTTTGTAAAGACTGAGATCAATGTCTGTGCATCGCAAAGCTATGTGCGTATTACATTTCTTTGATAATAAAAGCTTCATTGGTTTCGAAATTCTTTAAAGTTTGTTTAAATATTCTGCAAAAATTTTAAAATCAAATTATTTCAAGAAAATGTTTGTAAATAAATAAATCAATTTGATTGTCTCGCCAAACTGATTGTTAGTATAATATAGGGTGATTGAACACGACCACTGCGTTTTTGTAATTTACTGATTTGGCAACCATATATTGGCGAGCTCTGCAAGTTTGTCGCCAAATCAATAAACTATGATAAAACAGCTGAATATGAGTCAATTTGAATATAATGTGCAATAACAATTCTTAATAAAACATAAAATTGCGATAATTTGGATAAATAAAATTTCCGGCTCGTATACACATGAATTGTCAGTTCATCAAAGGGAAGCAACTCTAGTGGCGTATAGTGACGTTTCTGGCCATTGGTTGCTATGCAACCTTAATTCGCCTACATATCATATTTCCCCTCAAAGATTGCAACAACTGTTCGTAATCACCCTGTATATGGCTTTTATGCTTTCAGATATGAAATGATAAGAGCAGCACCTCTTAACTTCGACGCTACTAAAGTTCACTTTTGCTTCGTTCTGCAAAATTCACTTTTGCATATTTTCACAAAATTCACTTTCACTTTAGTTCACACATACTTTACCAAAGTACTCGAAAGGAATGTATTTTTACAACTTTTGTCTTTAAGTAGATTAAGAGTCTTTCTTTGGAAAGATATACGTAGCTAGAGTCACAAATAGTTTTTTAAGTTTAGCACGCATCTTTTCTTTGCAAAGCCATCTTTTGTGCGCATTAGACAAGATAATCTTTAGTTTCTGGAAGCCTAGTGACACAGAGGGCTCCTGAAATTAAAACCGTACTTGAAATAACGATTGGAATGATTTTTGAAGCTTCGACAGTACTTCCAAATGTTAAATTGCTGAGTATTGCAGTTATACGGCTAATGGCTGAGAAGATTCCATAACTTGTCGTCCTGAAAATAAAATATTGTTCGAGTTTTGTCAAGTTAATTAAATACAACATTATTAAAGTATGCACATCTGAGCAGAAATTAAGAATTTAATGCATACAACAAAATTTCATAATAATTTTTAAATATATAATTCATAAAAAGGAGTATAATCCATAAATGAATTTGTAAAAAAAATTACTGATTGCGATTGAGAAAAATAATTTTTTTTGGTTTGAAACATTAACTGGGACATCTAAGTTAAGTGTTCATAAAACCATCGTTTATTAAATTTAACGCTAAAGATACGTTATGAATGATAATCAAAAAAACAACCACAACGGAAAAATACATAAAAAAGGGGTTTAGGTCTTAAAAAATTAAGCTTACATTACATTGATAAACTTATGTAGATAGATGGGGTATCATAAGATAGTCGGTTAGAAGGGAATAATGAAATTTCATATAGGTCATATATCCTATAAAGGAATATTTTATTATACTCATTATATGGAGGAATATAAGGAGTAACTCACTCATAATATGGAGGAATATTGTAAGCGCAAGTAGGGCCATGCCAGAAACATGATCATATGTTGAGATGAATTGGTATCTTGGCGAATTTGAGTTACGTCACCCGCATCAACGCCATATATCGACTGTCTTATTACTACGTTTCTTATCTATCGAGAATAAAAAACACATGAAAACAAAAATAATTGGTTTTTCTCCAGGTTTTTTAATTGACACCAATTTGTTGTGTATCAATCATGAACGATTGTGTATCTAGGCATGACAATGTGCCTCTGTGTGATTTTTGAGTCTTTCAGTGTATTTTTATAACAAAAAAATATTTATCAAACAAATTTAGAAAGTAAACCTTATGTTGGCAGGATAAGCTTCAGTCGATATAACATCAATTGCATTCCAACCAAATACAGACAGAAATGTGAAAACTGCTTCAAATGCTATGAGCGCTTCCTTTCTCGTTGCTAGCCACAAAAATGGAACACTGCAACCAGACAACAACAAAGATACACCTAAAAAAAAATTTAAAATTATAAAAATTAAACAGTTTATAGCAGACTAAAGAAATAAATTCTTATATATATTGTATGTACACGGAAAACAAAATTCTGGTAAAATTACCAAACTGTATGGTAATGAAATTTTTGAGAGAAAAAACATTATTATGGTTAATGAAAACAGATATGGTATTTAAACCATATATTTGGTAATTTTTCCATTCGTATAGTAACGGTTTAAAAGAAATTCTGGTTTTCAAGTTTACTTATAATATTTTTATTTTTTAAAAGTGTCGTATTATGAAAACAAATGTCTCTGTGAATTTTTTACTTTTGAATAAAATGAAATGCAATATGTAAAATAACATTTAATGCTGAAAATCAATAATTCTATTGAAAGTTTCGATAGTGGGAGATTTAAATAAAAATAGAAAAGTAATTATTCAGATGATCAGAGAATAATAAAAAATTAATTCGCATTAGTAACTAAGATTTTACTTCTTAGAAAATATAAATAAATTTCTATAGAGTAATTTTCAGAGATAATATTTTCTTCTTCTTCTTCTTCTCCTCATTGGCACGACAGCCCAGGATGGACCTTGGCCTTCTCAACAAGCCTATGCCAAGACATTCTTCCCTTAGCCAAGGTTCTCCAGTTAATTATTTTTATAATTTGTAGGTCCTTTTCAAGGCAGTCTAAAAATCTTAGGTTTGGTCGTCCTCTTTTTCTTGTACCTGTTGGCCTGGCACAGAAAACTTTTTTGGTTGTCCTGCTATCTTCCATTCCAATAATGAGGCCTGCCCACTTAATCCTTTGATTTTGATAAATTTAATGGCATCTGGTTCTTTATATGCTTTGTAAAGTTCCGTGTTTGATCTTCTAAACCAGGTACCGTTTTTACTTATTCCACCAAAAATGCTTCGCAGTATTTTTCTCTCAAATCTAGCTATCATATTTTCATCTCCATGGGTCATTGTCCTGGTCTCACATGCGTATGTAAGCTCTGATCGTATAAGACATTTATGGAGTAACACTTTTGTTTTTCTTTTTATTAGGCTTGACTTAAGATATTTTCTTAGGCCATAAAAACACTTATTGGCCATCGTGATTCTCGTGTGTATTTCTTGTGTAGTGTCGTTTTGGCAGTGTTTCAAAAATTGAATTAAAATTTTTAGAGAATTTAAGTTGCGATATTAATAATATTTATAATTAAAAAATTTAAAAATTCATTCATACCTAATGTTTTAACTCTACCTATCCTATCTAAAATGAAAGACGATATCAGGGCTCCCGGCAAGATAGCGAGTTGAGCAAATAGATTTTCATAGAAAAGTTCTGAGAGTTTAAAGTTGATGTCAAAATCTAACTCACATCCACCTAAAAATATAATAATAATAATTTGAAGGATAATATAATATCCTAATTCTACACGTATATTAATAATACTTTGAATATGTGGCGAGTTCGGAAATAACTGCCCTTCATTGTATATGGTTTTAGAATCATTGTCAAAAAATACACACTTTTGAGTTCCCAAATTAATATTTAAAGGAAAAAATAAATAAATAAAGATTTATCAAAATTTAAGGAAACAATATTGAGATTAGTCAGTCAAAAGTTATCGAAGCATATTTGAAGTCATCAAAACCAGTGAGGACAAAGAAAGCAACCACTTTTACTATTCAATTCGACTCAGTTTTGATTTTGTCATTGTGATAAATCTTCATTATGAAATATCTCTATGAACACTCATAAAATCTTCAACGTTTTTGTTTTTTTAACTTACAATCAAAAATGAATATATATATATATATATATATATATATATATATATATGTATGTGTGCATATATAACCTGTCTAATGATGGGTCTTCACTAAATCTTCACTTTCTAGAACTCAATCTTAATGGCTGGAGGGGGTGACTTCAAATATTCTAATTAATTAGAGCAGATTATATTTTAAGTTACGAAATCTGACACAAAAACATACTTTCTGTGCATAAATATATTCCTCTTTTTCATCTGATTCAAATTTCTGACCCCCAAAATATAGGGGTTGGTGGATTCTGGAAAATATGGTCCCTGTAGTTCGGTCAGGAGAGTGGCTCAAAGTTTGAACCCCTTAGTGTTCTTTTTTTTTTCGTATTTCACCATATCTCGAGAACTTTTTAAGCGAATTGAAAAAATTTTGCACACAACTATAAATATCGTTATATATATATCGTTATATGCTAATATCGTTTATCCAAAGATAATTTCATGCAATATATAACATTTAGCAAATATTTTTTTATTATTATTTAAATTTATAGAAGTTGAAAAGCTTTTGAATTGTAAGCATAAAACATTTTATATAATTTTAAGCGATGCAATTTTACGTGGTGAAATTTGAATGAAATCGGTCGAATTGCTCCTGAGAGATTGAATTTTAAAAATTCGGCTTCTTTAAAATTCGATTTTAGGGAACTATTCGACCAATTTAGTTGAAATTTTGTATTTTGCCATTTAAAAACTTTATTTTTTTTAAATGATGCAAAAAGTTTTATCCCTTACAATTCAAAATTTTTTCAACTATTATTAATAAAATTACAAGTAAAAAAATTTTTTCTTACGAGGAACTATCTTCAGAGAAACGAATTTTATAGTTGTGAGCAAAAATTTTTCAATTCGCTTACAAATTTCTCGAAATATGAAAAACTACTCCGAAAATAAAATTAACATTATGAGTTCCAATACTTTGGACAGTTCTCCTGACCAAACTATGAGGACCACATTTTCCAGATTTCAGCTTCCCCCTATATTTTGGGGGTCAAAAATCCAAATCCGTCAACAAAAAAATAGATATGTTTAGACAGAGAACGTACGTTTTTGTATCTGATTCCATAACTTTAAATATAATCTGCACTAATTAATTAACATATTTGAGGTCACCCCTTTGAATGATTAAGATTAAATATTAGAAAGAGATGATCCAATCATTAGATCAAAATATATTTAGAGTGGTCTATTTCTTATTTTGTGACCTGCACAAGGAAAATCATAAGTCATTTAATAATTTAACTGAAGGTGGTTTCTTATAGAAGTTGCAGCTCTTTTCTCCGCCTTTTAGTTTAATTCGATTCGATTCTTTATTTTAATTCTTTTGACCCTGCTTTCATGGTGATGATGATCTCTAAAATGAGTTTTAAATACTTCCCTTTAAAAAGTGTTCTAAAAATACTTTGAATCCTCTAATTGAAAACTTTCCCTATTACTGTCCATAGTATTTTAAAAAATCTTCATTATCATATTTACGCAAATCAAACTAATTAAAATTAATTAAACTAAATGAAGACATTTAAATAATTCTAAGCAATAAAACTATCATTTAGTGATTTTAAACTAATCACTATGATTGATTTACGTACCTTTCGTATTGAAAAAGTATGATGAGACCAGAGTACAGAATTGAAACTTGTACTTGAAGAGATCAGTGTCAAAAAACTCTGTTTGATAGAAATCGCAAAACTTAAAGTATGTTTTGCTCGTCCTAATATTACTGAATGTGCAGTTTATGAACGAACAATTATGAAAGGAACAATGATTAATAAGAGTTTGTATGAACCGGACATTGACGAACGTTAGATTTGAGAAATGCACATTTTCGATGGTATTGTTAAAACTAATATCCTCGATCACTAAATTGGTTTGTTTGAGACTTCTTGAATCGAAATTAGCATCTTCGATGACTTTTGTATACTCATGAAGCCATATCGATATGCCATAAAATCTGAAATGGAAACGAAAATTATTATTTTTTAAATTTTTATATTAATTATTTAATTATTTACAGCAATTGCGAATAAAAGATTGAAATTTATTTATTTTTAATTATGCCACATTATAGCACTTTAGTTTTAATTCCTGTTTTAGTTTAAATTATAAATGAACATTCTTCATACCCGAAAGATGCTGTAGTCCAAAGAATCAAAAGCAGAACTGTTAAATATGTGTTTGGGGAAGCAAAAACTTTCGAAATGTTGCTCCAACACTAGAAAAGCAGAAGTTAATAGAAGTATAAACTTCGATGTATATAAAAACATATATTCTACATTTATTTATAAACGAAAGTCTAATGGATTGACATTGAAACATATATTATTTTTAGCTGAAACTTTTCACAAACCAAAGTGTAAACCATTTCACAGAAGGCCTAATTATTTACCATTTCCATTGATCTCAACATTTCTCTTAATATGCCTCTGTTGGGTGGAATGTTTATATGGACGGTTGGTCGTCTTCCTGGAATTTCCATCTCTGTTAGCTGCAAACAAACATATGCTTTATAAAATTACATTTTAATTAAAACCGCGTTTAAAATCACGAGGCGTAAAAATTTTACTAAAAATTTATAAGCGTTACGGTTTCGCGATGATGCACCTTCATTAATAGGATAAAATACAAGAATGGTAAAAACAGTGATGATTAAAATCCTACAAAGGTAATGCCGTGCCAAAAGGATAAATATACAGATAAAAGATCCAAAAATTAAAATTAAGAAATTAGGGATCTTCAAATATTAAAGAAATATGCTATAACAGTTAAGTCATTAACTAGTAGCAGTAAGGTCATTGTAAGCAATATTCTCAAAACATGCTGGACAGAAAACCATTGGTTAAATTTTTCTTCAACTCAGATCATCCATAAATGTATTTCAGTTGTTGATCTGTATTTTGGGAGAGTAAATACATCATCAAAAAATCTATAGTCACTGCAGTACCATATTTCTCTAATATTTAAAAATCACTATTTTTTTCAAATTTTCATTTTCTTGGATCTTTTAACAATATATTTACCCCTTCAATATGACGTTATCTCTGTTGAGTTTTAATCATCTCTGTTTTGAACATTCTTACATTTTTTCCCACTGCTGAAGGTGTACCTTTGAGACACCGACACACGTATGGGTTTTTAATAAAATTTTTACCATTTGTGGTTTTTAAACGAGGCTTTTATTTAAATTCAAACATATGTTTTATTAAAAAAATTCTTCTAAAAAATAAATATTTTTAAATATATGCTGTCTTGAGACTTTTGAGCAAAAAACCTAAAATGTTGAAAATTGCATAATATGAAAAAGGAATTGCACTTGAAACGGCGCATAACTTTATTATACATAAAATGTTGCAATTTCTTCAAAATTTGACTAATATAAACTATTTTGGAGCACTCATAGAATTCAAAATACTTAAACTATTAATTAGTTCTATAGTTTTGTTGTTTCTAATGCCACTTGCCAATACCAGCAAGTTTTGGTGAACCCGAACGAATTTAAGGCATAGAGTGCGTTTCTTGTTTAAAGTGTTGCCATCTATGGCCAAAAATATTACTTCAGTCACACATACGTCAAAACCCTTTTATAGAGTGGTACGTCACAACTTTTTTATAGATGCAAAAATTTTTCCTCATACATCCATTCATTCATCCATCCATAGATCGCAATGTTGACCTAAACCAGAGAACAATCAATTTCCAATTCAGAACCCCCAGAGGTATTGATTTGTTATTTGAATTGGAGGACTTTGCGACATGACTTATTTAACGTACACCAGTAATGATTTATTATACGGGGAGTCTTCGGTTGACGGAGATCGAACTCACGTCCTCTTGAACATCGGCCCAACTCTTTAGGCTATCCTGGACCATTAATTAAAAAGTAAAATAATTCCTTTACTCCATTCATCTTAATTATAAGTTCTAACAAAAAATTTTCGCTATAAAAAATATAAATTTGCAATTAATTGCGGAGTTAAAAATTTTTTATGCACTTAAAATAGGTTATAATTTATCATGAATATTAAATTTGAAATTAAAATTAAATTTGAATTTTTACGAACTTTAAAAAATTGTTACTATAGTTGTTTTAAAAATAAAATAGTTTTTTTTAATTAATGTAATTTCTGCATATTTGTAATGGCATGACTATTCAACAGGAAAGAATAGAAGATCATAATAGTTATATTATGAATAGATATTTACTAATATTAATCTAATTGTAATAATATTAATCTTATTAGATAATAATATTAATATAATCATCTAAATAATTGGCATTTAAAATAAAGTAACATATTTTTGGTAAAAAAGCTAGTTTTTTGCGAAAATAATGAATACCCAAAAATTACTTACTTGGTATTCTTCACCACTTTTCACTGCATTGTTCCAAGAAAATATTTGTTTGTAGACATAAAGAGCTTCACTATTTCTTCCCATCTGTGAATTGAATTTTGAAATAAATGTAATTTTCTGTCATTAAATAGAATAATTGAAGTCATTTTTGTTTTGTAATATTTTCAAATCAATTCAAGAGCTTTATTTTGAAAATATGATATTATAATTTGGGTTGTGCCGTGCGCAAAAAAACGGACCACCCTGAATAATTTTTGATCCAATGATCGAATCTTCACGTTCTAGGGCTCAATCTTAATAGTTCGAGGAAGCAACTTCAAAAATGCTAACTAATTAATATTGGCTATATTTCATGTTACGAAATCAAACACAAAAATGTATTTTCTCTGAATAAACATACTTTTTTTCGACGGATTTGGATTTCTTAACCCCCAAAAAATTGAGAGTAATCTCAATCTGGGAAATATGGTCTTAATAGTTGTGATTCAAAGTTTGGACCCCTTAATGCTAATTTAACATTTTTGTGGTATTCCGCCATATCGCGAAATCTTTTTTAGAGAATTGAAAAAATTTGTACATATTTATAAAATTTGTTTATCGAAAGATAATTCTATTGAAAAATATCTTTCATTAAATATTTATTTTTTAATTACTTAATTTAATAATAGTAAAAAGAAAATTTGAATAATTTGAAGGTTTCCATTTTTTAATAAAGATTGTATTTTAAAATTTTTGACAAAGATTGTACTTTATTTTTAGAAAGATTAAAAAATTTTGAATTACAAGGTTTCCAATTTTTTTTTTAAAGATTGTAACTTTACATTGCAAAATACAAAGTTCGAGCAAAATCGGTTGAACAGTTTCTGAGGAATTGAATTTTGAAAAAGCCGTGCTTTTAAAATGCGGACTGTACTTTCGTATAGTTATTAAACTAACCTCAAGAAGAAATCTAGGTGATTCTGGTAAGAAAGTTGTTCCAACAGCAGATATAATGGCAGGAATAGAGCAAATTAACAAAAATTTTCTCCATCTTCCGAAATGAAGACGTTTAGTGTCCATAATCGTAGCACCTGGAAAAGAAACAAAAAAGAAACTTTATATTAAATGAATAAATTCAAACTAAAAACTTATAATATTTTGCTTTTGATAATAAATTACATTATTTCGTTAAAATTTACATAGAAATCTTTATAGCCGATTTTTTTTTTCAATTTTTTTCTTCTTCTTTTTTTTTTTATTTGCTTTAGGATAACTCTTTTTCAATTTATTCTTCTTACAGCTCATAATTAGTTTCAAATTACTTTCATATTTTAGCGTTTTTATTTAAATATTTTTTCAAATTTAGCTCTTCGAATAAGACTTTGATGGCATTAATCGCCATTACTAATATTTTAGTGGTAGTTGAAGTATCATCATTGACTTCAGGCCGTTACATATACATCTTAATTTGGATGTAATAAAATGATAATTATCTCAAAGAAGGGAATAAAATCGTTTAAGTAAAAAATTTATTTATTAAGCAAATATTAGTATTTTAAAAATGGCCATATTTAAAATAATAAAGAAAAGAAATCCCTTAAATTGATTAAGATAACATTCTCCACATCGAGAATTTTGAATGTGAATCATATTTAACGTTTCTGGGACTGGGAGGCCCGAAAGGGGCACCCCCAGTCGCCGCAAATTTGAAATTGAAAGTAAATGAATTTTTTTCCCAACTGACAGTTAGGAGCATGGAGAAGAGATCCAAGGTTGGCGAATATTCGAAAGATAACATAGCCAAAATAATGCCAACCCCCATAATCAATATTAGGTTTAAAAATACTTTGGCGATCGCGAATCGCCTACAAGAGTGTGAAAATAAGGATAACCTTGTAATTAAAACATATTTGTGGTAGGAAATTAATAATGAGGAGTTATAAATAGATTTTTGTTTTCGATTAGGCGAGATAGTGAATTAATAAGTCTACATTAGTATTGAAATAAAAAGTTAGCCGTTACATAGATTGATAAGAAAAGAAAAAAATATATTTTATGTTCGCTTTAATAAAAATTTTATAATTGATTTAATTTAATAATAATTCGATTAATGATGATTAAAAAAGTAAGTTTAAGTAATTAAAGAAATTTTAAAAGCTTGGAAATATGTAATGCCTATTGTGGCATTAAAGACAAATTCTATTTTATAGTTTTCTTTCAAGGAAAGAAAATGAATATATATTTTTCCTAAATTTTTTTCTGAAATTAGTTAGTGAAAATGCTTGATGGCAAGAATAGTCAAAATAATTCAACATATCTCTTGTCCTGGTAGCAGAACTTACTGATATAATCTACAGAACTATCTACAAAAATTTAATTTTGACTATCAACAAAATCAGGCAAAGATTATTATTTTTGGAAAAATTAAACTTAATCCAACATGTATTTAACACAATTTGAAAACATTAAATAAAATTATAAACAAAATCTTTTTCTTGTTTAAATTGAATTTGAATTTCACATAATTATAATTTAGCTTGATCGAAGAAAAAAACAGATGCTTATAGTAAGCCCAATAAACAAACCAGAAAGAAAGATTAACCAGCAGATTATAATATTAAAATAAAATCTTTTCATTTTAAAAAAAGAAATCAACAAGACTGTTATTTATGATGTCTTGATTCGTGTCTATTAAAAGTTTCTTCAAATTAAATTCATTCTATACTGTCACAATTACTTTGCAAGCTAATATAACTATAATCAGATAATGGAATTAAATAAGTGTTCTATTTTTGATATCAAAATAAATAAAAAAGGAGAAATTTTCCTCATTTTTCATAAATAAAAATCGAAAAATTTTCCTCTATAGTTTAATCTTTAACTTTTATTCTTTCTTCATTCTATCTTCATTCTATCCTCGATCAATATTTCCCCATTTGTTGATTTGTTTAAAAAATCAAAGGAGGAAATTAATATGCAATTGCTCTGCTATCGGATATAAACGATCTCTAGTTTCTTAAAATAAATGGGGATAAATTGAGACTGCAAAAAAATATTGTATAAAGAAAGTTTTCATTTAATTAAAAAGATAGCACATTTTGGAAAGTACATTTTGCTTAAAAAGATTATAAGGAACTATAAGTTTAAATATTGATTTATGAGTCAAATAATAACGTCTGCAAAAAAATTTATGCATCTGGCATCGAAAATTTTTTTTAATATTTCCTTCTTTTTAAGGTCACTTTCTGTAAAGTTATCGCCAAGTTATTAGTCACTATTAACTTGCATTATTTAATCGATAGGAATATCTTTAAAGATAAAAACTGGTCTAAAGATAATTAAGTCGACCCACATCATGTATTACAACTTTTAAAAGAGATTGAAAAATTGACAGATAAGTATTTTTTCATTTATGCTTCAATTTTACCAGTCATGGTCAATTATTATTATTTAAAGTAATCAAGTGTGCCATTTATGACACACATCTTAAAATTACGTACATTTTGTTCTCAAGATTTTGAGTTCGGGCTTCTTGTAAAACAAAATGAATTTAGGTGGGTAATCATTAGTTTATGACTAATGAGAAACATAACTTGAATAAAGCACAAACGAAATACAGAAATGGACATACGGTTTGGCTTTCAACCGAACTCTTCCAGACTAAAAGTCTAGAGCTGCCTGCTGTTATGGTAACAAGGGTAGTAAAAAACTAAAAAAAGGGTAACTAATGGGTGGTAAAAAACTAAACTTCAGTAACATTAGAGAGCTATTGCTGATATTAAGCGGGGCATTTGTTAAATTTTTTTTGTTAGTGTGGTATATCGTATATTTTTATAACCGGCGTTGAACACCCGACCCAATTCTGAGTTATCAATGTTCAATCCCGTAGCCTTGAATTTGGAACTCAACCCAGAAGAAAATAAAACTTCTAGATCAAGAATTGGTACAAACTAGCCCTCATGGTTGAACTTTTGGTGGAACTAAGCACTTTTCTGATGGAACTAATATGCATTTGCGTAGCATGGAGATCAAAACCACGAAAACCGCCCATGTTTAGCCCGGCACCAAGGGGGCTCTAACTCATAATCCGTCTTCCACAGGGGATATGTTACGTCAGCACTGTGGTCGGTGCGAGCTGGGAGCAGAATTCGTATCGACAAAACTTTGCAGGGATTCAAACCTCGGTCACACCACTCACCTGTTTCTTAACACCCTTCTTTTTATTATCTAGTTCAAACTTTTTCCTCTTTCCTTATTGGCTAAACCACTTTGCATGCGTTTATCTCCTGACTTTTCTAATGTCATTTGGTTAGACACTGAAGAAGGTTCTTGCTAAAGAGAATCGAACATGTCCATTTCTGTACTTTATTCACGTTGTTTCTCGATTCAGTCTAACGTAGAACAAAGTATACCCTATCCTTTAGGACATTCGGATTCGGTTTTAAAAATATACATTTTAAACTTTTTTAAAGCAAAGCTGCTGCAATATGAAAAATTTAAAATACTAAAATATTTCTATAATAAACTATTCTAAAAATATTAGAAAAATTTTACTAAAAATATATCTATAATAAAATATTTTACTTTAGATATAAGGAAAGATAGATTAAACTATATTTAATTTAAAAATAAAAAACAGTAAATACTTGGTACTCACCACTTTTTGGAATGATACCCCATGCTAGAACAGCGACGAACAGGCCACCCAGGGCCCAAAAAACTAGTAAAAAACTAAGATGTTTTCCTCTGCTTTTACGTACTAAGAACTCGGAGTAAAAAGTGAAAACAATTGGTAGTGATCCTCCAATGCTGAAAATAAAAGTTAATTTGTTTTATAGGACCAAAATAAGTTAAGTAATGTTACTTCAAATTAAAATCAGTAACTTTTTTAAATAACATCATAAATAACACTTATAGTGATTAATTTTGCTTTCTTTACACTCTCAGAAGTAAAGCTCTCACTTTTGATGATTCAGCAATCCTTGAGCAGCATTTCGGTAATTTTGAAAATCATTTCGTCACGAAATCACGTGATTTGTGAACTTTTAGATTAGAAGTGGACATTTTTTGTCTGTTCATAAAAATGAAATTAAAATAGAGTATTTCATTTTATAACCGTCCTTGAACAGCAGACACAATTTTGGGTTTACGACTACTAACGTTCAACTCTTGAACCTTGTAATTTTGAACCCAATTCTGAAGATAAGGGAACTTCTGGATCAAATAGTAGAAAAATTTACCTTTGTGGAGGACTCTTTGATGGAACTAACCCGCATTTGCGTTACATGGAGAGGAAAACCGCGAAAATCTCCCACTGTCAGCCTAACAGCTGGAGGACTCTAACCCATGATCCGCCTACCACTGAGGATATTTTTTGTCAGCACTGTGGTTGGTGCAATCCAGAAGCGGAATTCGCATCACCCAGCCATCGCTGGGATTCGACCCCGGTTCAACCTCATTAGAAGACAAGCACCTATACCCCTGAGCCATCAAACGTAGAGCATAATAAGTAAAGTAGAGTCAAAGAACGAAACTAATTTACAAATTCAGAAAAAGATAACATAAGTAAATAACATTTAAAATAGTAAATCAAAATGGAAAAGCGTCTATAGCATCTAAAACCAAGTTTGTCTTACATTAATTTAGAAAGTCAAAAATACAATTACAGCAGAAAACAATTCTAGAAGAAAGGGTGCTGTGTGTTGACAAGCAGTGTGCCCCCTGATGAAGTGTTGTCTTGCTAACACACATATCTTAGAAGTTTTTTCGTTTCCTGCTAGAATTATATTTTTAACTTTCTAAAAATAGGTAAAATAGAGGTAATAGCATAGTTACCCAATGCTGCTGAAGAATCGAGTTAGCATGAGAAGTGAATAGGTGGGCATAAAAGCTGCAATTACTCCAAATATTCCGTTGGTTGCTAAAGCAGTCAGTAAAGTGCGCCTCCTTCCTAATCTGTCTCCCATTATTCCCCATAAAAGAGCTCCAATCGTCATCCCAATAAATGAAATGGTACCTGAAAGACAACCATGCGCTTTATCACGTGATATTATATAAAGGCATGAAATTTCAGTTGAAAAGATACTATCCGAGCAAAAGTTTTTAATCGCATCCATACATCTATGAAACATTAAAATTCATGAAAAATATGTACAAGTTTTAAAATATTAACACATGTAGTATGAAGTTTTCTATGGTGACCGAATTAAAGAATGAAGCAACTTAAAAATCGAAGCATATTTGTATCGATATTAATATTAAATCAAATAAAAAAACTTAAGGTTTTATGTTCTCAGAAGTTATAGTTTCAGCAGTATTAAGTGAATGATCTACCACTTTCTTATTTTAAATAGAAGGAGAAGGCTATAGTTTGATATCAAAACACTTCTAAGGGACGTTTCATTGTTGCGTGATAATTTAAGTATAAATAGTTTAATTTAAAACTCAACATTTTTAAAAATTAAACTTACTCTCCAGCCTTGAATACTTTATCGTAAATATTGAGTGGAAATTTCGAGCTCTGTATTAGATCGTAAGGATGAAATTTGTTGTTAGTAACGTCGCTTAATTTAACAGCTCATTATTTGACATGATCAGCGTGCCTGAGCCAAAGAATATAGAAAGGAAAAATCCAGCTCCCCAAATATGTAACTAACGAGGGGAATTGTACTTACAGGGGAAGCAACAGACTCAAATTTAGCATAACATCAAACATTGATGTCGCCATATAAAATTTATTCGGGGGAGGACTATACTTCTATTGTTATTTTCAAGTTACTTGAGGGAAAAAAATAACATTTGCCCTTATTGAAACTAATTGCTAAATAAACTTTTATATNATATATATATATATATTGTTTATATATCTATACATAATCCTGAAAACTAAAACAACTTGATATTATGTAGAGTGTTCTACGTCATCTATGTCCTCATGTATAATTTTAAAATTATCTTTAAGTATTAAGTTGAGAAAAAATACAAATTAAGGGTCGCAAACTACTATTTAAGGGTGGAAAAAAACTATACGAAAATCTTAAGAATCAATATGAAGATAAACGGAATTGAAAACTTTAAAACCAATTTGGGTTTTTTTATTTTGTAACCGTCGCTTAACAGCCGTCCCAATTTTTAGGTTTACGACTACTAATGTTCAACTCCGTAGCCATGTAATTTTGAACCCAATCTAGAAGGCAAGGGAACTCTTAGATCAAGTGTTGGGAGAAATTTGAATTTGTAGAGGACTCTTGATGGAAATGACCTACATTTGCGGAGGAAAACCACGAAAAACTGCTACGATTAGCCTGGGGACTCTCACCCATGATCGGTCAACTACTGAGGATTTTTTTTGTCAGCACTGTGGTCGCTGCGAGCCGGGTGAGGAATTCGTATCAACCAGCCATTGCTGAGAATCGAACCCGGATCACGTCATTGGGATGCGAGTGTTATAGCCCATAGGCCACTACGGCTCCGCACTTTATTCAATGATTTAAAATGAATGAATAATTATAGTTAAGCAAAATAAAATGTAAAAGAAAATAAAACAAATGTGGTAAATTTGAGAAAGCCCAACAGTGAGCACCCAACAAATTTTTACTTGATTAATTAAAAAAAATATTTCATATTTGTGAATGAGTCATTTTCTAAGAAAAAATTCTAAACTTTTCAGAAGAAAATCAGAAAAATATGATTTTAAATATAAAAAAAAAACGTAGCTTATTTCAAGATCTTTAATAATAGAATATTTTTTGGTTTGTTTCTTCAGGTAAACTCAAGAAGCAACATAAACGGCATTTTATTGCAAGGTTTCATCAAAAACCATGCATCGTGTTTATTTTGTTTATAGTTCAGCTTTTGTAACATTTCTATGAGTCTAAATATTTTATTATCAATGGTAATTGAAATAAAACAAAAGTAATTTCTTTGAGAGTAAAATTAATGGAGAAATTTGTATGTGCTAAATTTTGACTATAATGCTTTGGCCTGCTTGATCAATAGTAGCATGCCAAATGGAACATGTCAGCAACTATGTATTGTTAAATCTTTATTCTGTTTAGTTGAACTTCTTAAAAAAATGTGTTTCGCTTAATCTATTAACGTAAAGTCATCTAAAGGGACAACAAATAATAATCATTAAAAAATTGAATTATTTTAGCTTTCTTAATTCTTAATTATTTATTAACTTATTATTATTAAACTTCATTATTTTGGCTGGATAATTTTAATTGCTTCGATATATACTTGCTGTATAATATTGATTTATTGATAATTTTCTTTTCTATTCTCTATCCTATGCGAAAAACTGGTATTCAGCTGGTAGACATTTTTTCAATTATAGTAGTATACAGAAAAGAAAAAAACAGAGTTCAATTAGTTAAATTTCTGCTGGTATATAAACAGATACCGCAGTAAAGTATATGAAAACAGGAATTTTGGCTAAGAAATGTTTCATTTATTTACAACTTTTGTTTTCACTTGTTAGTTTTTTTTTCACTGAATGATTATTTCTTCCTTTTTCAGTACATAATACAGTACACGCAGTTAATAAAATAGCGTTATTTTTTTTTTAATTATTAATTTTGTTTTTTTAGGACCCTTCTAATATAATTCTTTTTTAGGATCTTCTCTTTAGGAACTTTAGAACCTTTCAAATTTTTGTATTCTATGTTTGATCACTATATATATAATATATGAAACACTGAAAATTTATTCAGGGATTATAAAATGCTTTGTATCATAGAAACGACTAAAACATTAAATGACATTAATTAAATATCTGGTAAATCCACCCCGTTGTTTTGACGGTGGACAAAAAGAAGAGAACTTGAAGAAAAGGTCCGTAAAAAACACCTCATACCTACACCTAAAATAACACCTCATACGTAACTATATGAATTTGACAGCCGATTAAATTGGTCCGCTAATCCCCAATTTAAAGTAATTAAATGTTTCTTCGAATGAAATTTTATATATATATTAAAAATATCAATACATGAAGATTAATTTAAGCACTACTTAGTATTTAGCAAAATGATTAAGACTCTTAACTCTTTTCTACGCATTTTCTTAAAATAGAAAAATAGCACTGGGAATCAGATTTTTGCAGAATTTATACGAGTGCTTGATTTCACCGAATTCGGGTAAGAGGATTTTAAATAATAAGCTACAGATGTTCGGAAAGCTATTGATCTTTCTTTCTCGAAAATGTATTTTTGGTTCAGTTTATTATTTTTTCGTCGGGATGGTGTACATTTTTAAGAAGAAGGAACAGAAGAAGTTTATATATATATATATACTGTAAACTATTAAAAAAATGGAGAAAATAATAGTGGAATATTTCAGAATATTAAAGCAGTATTAAGCTTAACGTTTTTCTCATCTTGTTTCGGCTTAACTTGTATTGCTCTAAGAATCGAAATTGTTGTGCTTAAAGAGGAAAATAAAATTATTCAATTGATTAACAAAACTGGAATTTATATTTTGAGGAAATGATAAATTATAATAATGGTGGTCGGAACAATTTTTATGCACAATTTATTTAATATATATACCTTTTTTATTATTCATAAAAAAAGAAACAGAAAAGATGAGATATTTTGATTTTTTTGGATCACGTGGTGCATTTCGGTAACCATAAAAACTTTACATAAATTTGCACAAGGAAATAAAAAGGACAACGCATAGAGCTCTCAATTTCTTCCTCGTTCAGCAGAATTTGTAGTTTCAATATTAAAATTTTTAAAAAATTAATACTTTTAATTCAGAAAAAGTATTTGTGAAAAATACCTAATTCTGAAAGCGTTAATTAGCACAAAATAATTACTTTAAAAATAATATATTATTTTGATAAAAATAGAATAAATAAAATTACATAAAGTACACTTAACACACTCATACAGTAAATTAAGTTCAACAAATTATCCAATTCTTAAAATTATTTTTTATCCCAGTTTTTATTGTTAAATATATTAAAATCATTTGGATGATTTCTATGAAACTTTTGCACTTAAAATGTTCTTCATTCTTTTAATTAATTAAAATTTAAGCTGATGTTAATTTTTTGCATTAGGATATAAATTAGCTATATTTATATAAATATGCTTATTAAATTATATATATAAAATCATTTATTAAATAATATGTAATTTTTTTTATAAAATTAAACGTGTCATTCAATTTATGAATGTGAACAAAGTTATTGAAAAGGCATAAAAATTCTAAGTCTTGATTTATAATTTTGAAAATTTAAAAGTTACATTAATTTCATAAATATGAATTAAGAACAAACTCCGTGATTTAAAAATAAATTCATGAGCAAACAATGAACGGTGAAGTCATGAACTAATGTACTATATCAGTAAATTTGATATATATTGCTATGAAACAGAAACAATTCTAACAGAACGTGAACATACAAATATGAATAAGTAGTTTAAAATAAATATTTGCTTACCTCCCATAAAAATGGACTTATTTATTGAATTCTTGTATTTCAATGATAAACTTTATCAAGAACTGGAGTTCTTGATGGCACAATTTATTTAGAAAATAATAAAATATAAAATAAATAAAAAAGAATTGTTTCGAGTAAAACGTCAAATTGATGAAAAAACAACTAATAATATTAGTTAAAACAATTAATTAAACAGAATATTTATTTTTATAAAAATTTTGAACTGGAAATAGTTAATTTAAATTATGGTGGAATAGAACTATGAGAGTTTTGGAAGAGAAAATTTAGAATTATTGCATGTTAGAGAAAGTCTCTTGACTAAATCACCAAAAAATAGAAATTATCAACAAGAGTCTCCCATTTAAATCCCTAAAAGTTTCATACATCTGTTTTCCTAGAAATTCTAGATAATTGCCTGCTTAAGACCAACAAAAAGATGTTTCTGATGATATTCCCCTTTTTTAAAACATGAAAAAGGAGTACAGGTCCATAAATACGATAAGACAATTTCAAAATGTAAAGGACATTTTCCCATAGCCTAAATTGAGGCAACTATTTATCTT